AAGGCATGTTTTAGATTATGGTAATGCGGCTCTCTCAATTTCGAATCCGGCAACTGTTAAATCACCGCGAGGAAACGAAATCCTAATTTATAGTCGTTAGATAATAATAAATGAGTTTAGAGCAAATAGCGAGCTCTCTTCCAGCACGGAAATGAAGAACCCTTGGGAGAAAGTGCAAACAACATCGTCCTCTAAACCGTGAGAAATGTTCAGTTAAAACCTTGGTTAAAACTCAATTGGGAGAAATTTATCTTCCGCAACGCACTAGGGTATTATTCTGGCAAATACTTTATACTTAATGGAATCCATTATAAAGTGTGCACAAACGCAAGTTCGATCAATGCTAAAGCGCGTTAGGTTAGCGCGTGTGTACTAGCCCGTACTTTCCTATCTCTCGATTTTTTAATCATAAAACCTTTTTAGTGTTAAAAACTCCAAGTCATATTATGGATTAGCGTTAAAAAAATTCTTAGTTTACTTGCGCACATAAACGGCGTGTGAAGGAACAGATCAGATATTCTACGGTGTTTACGCGTAGACGCCCAATGCTGGGGATCCCGTTAGCATATCCCGTCGTATGCGTTCATCCGCGACTATAAAAAAATCCACGTGATTACACGTGCGCGCACGCGGCAACGCGCGTCCCGCATAATGAAGGAGCGGGCATCGTCTCCGAGACGCGACGCGACGCAACGCGACGCGGACGCGACAGGACGCATGAACGGCCGTTACATCATTTATCTCGCGGAAATCGTAGGACTCGCGTCGAAATGGCCAACACACTAAGTACACGTCCCGTGCGTGCACGTACACCATGTCCCGTGCGACGTCGCGTATCTCATGCCTGCGATCCGCGTGTGTGGGGGACACGTTAGGTGCGAGTCGCGTGCGTAAGACGTGCGTGCAAGAATATGGATATCATATCGGCGGTCTCAGGAAATTGACGAGGAAGCGACGGAGAAATTGTATTACCGTTGGCTATTATCGTGCATGGGATCATTTATTCGAAATACAATACACCATATAGCGAGGAAAGTTTGGACATCGTCGACCGTGAGACGGGATAAAAAATAACGCTTTGACGTATACGGTTATTGCGGTAAGAAATCTTGCTCGCGCTTCTTCGTCACCGTTATAAGCACGCTGATTGAATATCAGTCAAAGGTGTCAAATGCATGATTATACAGGCTATTTTACACATAACAGCCTTCCTCCAAAAACTAAGGAAAACAAACGACAATTAAAATAACAGCTAATAAAGTTCTGACACTTTGGATTTCTTTAGCAGATGGCGAGATTCCACAGATTGCAATCAAGAATCTTCTCTAGAGAACCCTTACGATTTTACCCTCAGAAGTTAGTTAGCGGTGTTTTTGCACCTTTGAAACGTCCGATACGTGAACGTGAATATATTACATTTCGCCTGTCTTGGCGAACGCGTCGCCTGATAATGAATCTCGGCGGAGAAAAGCCGCTGCCTTTATGACGTTCTAGTCGATTAAACGCGATATAATCGCAGCTGCCCGCCGGCAGACGCGCGTTTCCTGCATCTCCTCTCTCTCACGTCGGATAGTCAGATTGGCAACGGCGACGTAATCCAATTTGATGGTGACGGCGCATTCCACGCGATCCCGTCTGCCCGGAGTCGCCCTTTTCCACTACGCCGTTGTGTCATCGCCGATATTACTACTCGAGCTATCGATATTTCTACCGCTGAATATTTATGTGACACGAATGATGTAGCACGGAAACTCAATTAGATTCAGCATCAATATAAAATCTTTTTCCATAAAAAGAAATTTTTGGAGAAATTCTAACGCAACGTTATAGTTTGCTGTTCAATTATCGAAAAGGATATCGAAAAACATCTGTTAAATTTAAGCATCCCCCGGTCGTCGCTCGCGCACGTTAATAGCGCGTAGCGTAGCTATAATAAACACGTGGATGTTAATGAGATACGGTCGTAATTTACAGAGCGCTGTATAAGTCGCGACGGTATGCGAAAACGATGCTAGGCGTGGCAACCGGAGGCGCGCGGAGACTCGGAGTGATCGTTCGTGAACGGGGAGAGGGATCCTGAACGCGGAATGATAAGACTCTCCCGCGAATAGTCCAGATTCGTGCGTATACTCGCTGCGTTATGGTCACCGGGATGGCACTCATTTGAAACGGAATGAAAGCGACGTCTCATTGATGCTATCGTCCACGAGGACGTTTTCCACGAGGATAGTTTCACTTAAGGCTCCTGGGGTACTCGTCGCGGCAATGTTGGAATGTGACGTCAGAAGCGAGAAATGACACGTTGAAAATTCTTGCGTAGTATTTCCAAATAAAAAGATATTTGCTTAAAATAACACTACAGATCACTTCAGCACACTTCGAAAATACTCCGAGTTCAGGTTAAGTCTACCCCTTTTCCTTGACGAAATCTAGTCATGCGCGCAAGCCTGCATCGTATCACATTCGTTTTACGGCTGTTATTAACTGTCAAGGGAAAGGGATAGACTTAACTTCAACTCGGAGTGTATTCGAAGTGTGCTGAAATGATCTGTAGCATTAATTTAAGCAAATATCTTTTTATTTTGAAACACTACGCAAGAATTCTCAACGTGTCAAATCTCAACATTTCTCGCTTCTGACGTCACATCTCATGAAACGTCGGGAAAGATCCCAAGAGCCTTAAAGTGGCTCTATCACAAGTTCTACATAACGATAACGCGCATTCCGATTCGAATTACGAGCACTCGGGATTTCTATGATGCGAAAGAGGATTTAACGTTTTGCTGTCTGAATTTTTAAATATTTATACCGCATTATGTAGAAGTAGTCGTCTTACTCGAACCAAAAACGAATAAAATAATTTATCAAAGGAAATGGTGAAAATAATTCCAGAAATATGATACGACTTTTATGAATAATTATTCTCCTGGTTTCCATGGTTTCGTGAACCACATCAAAAATTCCGATGAAAGTGATATGTATGCACCTACAAAAGCACGATGCATAAAGAGGTACATCAAAGATAACGATTCACAATACCGTCGGAATCATAACGGGCATAATGCGTCGAGGGAGAGAGATCGCGAAGATTAGTGTATGCGAGACGTCCGTTCTCCAGGTCGCAGTCATTCTGTCGTTCCGAACAGCAACTAAATGAACAAAATTTATCATTTGTTTATGTCACGTTGATAGTCTAGAAACGCCGTTGTTAACTGGGTCGTTGTTAACCGCGACACGAGAGCACGTCATTCCAAATTAGGTAGCTAAACGTGTCACGCGCAAATCGGATGGTGATAGACACGATAAATCATGCGAGCGGAAGTGCAACGCCGACATTGTCGCCCAGACACGCTCCGGCCTTCAGATACATATGTGCAATTGCAATCGTGCAACTGGTTCACTCCGAATCGATATCTACCGGCCGCGACGGCGAAAAACAACATCGGGGAGTGCTTTCAATGAGGAAAGAAAAGGGTTACGTAAATGATGAAATTATTACGCAGAACATATTATAGCCTTTAAATACGTCAAGAGTAATCATCATCTATTTCTAATGTATAGCCAATAAATTACAGAAATAAGTTTCGAAAAAGGTATTTGCGACTACACTTACAGAGCATATAAATAGAGAATGTTATGTGAGCATCGCCCACGTATTCTATTTCAGGAATATAGATTCCTAAGATAACTAGGATAAGATGTGTACTCTAAAAGTGCTTAGGACTAAGCTACCTAGATAAACAATCTTTTCCTAAGACTTTTCCAGAAATATGAAGTATTTTTGTAACGCTATAAAATAAAAAGGAGAAACTCTCGGATTGCAGCAGCAGTTCTTCAAGATTTCAGTGCGCTAAACACATGACGCGGTCAAGCAGTCAAACGTCAGTAGTTATTAGCATAATTTTAAGTATTATTGTAAGAAAAGTAAGAAATTAAACCTTTTTAGGGATAATTGTCGCGAATGTTACAGTCGAAATTAAAGTCTACAAATTGTTTTCTTATACTATTTATAATTTTCTACTAAACTATAATATAAAATCACCTCCAAGGGCTAAAAAATGTCGAAGTCGTTATTCTCGGTGGAGGAGCGGCTATCGATTTTTCCCATCGCCACTATCTATATGATTCACAACCGTACTTAACGAAATATCGCATCGAAATAGTTTTGCTACCCTTAGGAAAAAGAAGACGCGCCTCCATAGCCGATGTAAACATGATCAAACGAGAAAAGTCCGCGTAGATGGAGATGAGAGAACAAGATGTAAGTACCGCAAGTTTGCCGAGAATGATAGCCCGTCAAGGTTGCTGCTTGATGTCTGACCTCATGCCACGAGGCCACGCGGTATATTTACCACCTGGAAGTGCTTAGAAAGGGCTTCTCATCCGCGTTTCTTAATGGTCTATTATTGGACGGTCTATTGAAGGGAATGCTTTAGAGGAGGACCGCCACGCCTGTCGCGCGAAAATTATGGTATAGCGTAACAATGGTACATAAAACGTGGCACGGCAACAAATTAGCCTGGGTCATCGTAACTTTGACTTGCATTATAATCTCCTCAATACAAATTATACAGTGTAATTAAAATGTAAAGAATCCTTTAAACGCAAATAACGGAACCAGGATGGTTCGAGGACCGCAATCAATTTCCATCTCCATTTTACAACACAAAATATATTCAGAAAAATTTAATTAAAAATTTCTAATTATAATATCATGATGCTTTATTCTGACTTTTACGTTTATTTCTTAAAGAGAACACAATACGCGTTACGATAGCAAAAACCTAGAAATATTGATATACATGATTTTTCAATTAAATAAATTAAACGTTGGCTCTATAGCGCTTTACTCTCACTCCGGTTTTAATCTTTCATACGAATCGTACACAAAAGATTCAAAGTATATCAGACACAGAAAAAACCTTTCAAAGAGACCGCCATACGATCGATATTACGCGGCGACGAGCGATGAGTGGCGCTCGTGAGTTTCGTGCCACGTCGATTATGTAACCACTAGCGAGCACATGCTGCGTAATACTTTATCGTCGTTCCTATTTTCGTCCAGTCGCGAAAGAAAATAATTATATGCGTTGTATTCGCGCAAGAACACACGCGCGCTAAATCGCGAGTGCTGGGTATTTGTGACGTTTGTTGTAAGTAAAGTACAGCTTGGAGTCCTCAAGCAAGCAGCATCGACTGGTCCAATGACTGCAGCCATCTGTTCGCCAGCACGAAAGCCTCGCGCACGCGTGAAAGAGTGAGCACCAGTGGTTATAGATACAACAGATTTTAAGCGTACCAGAATCTTAGGAATCTTAGCTAGACGCTTCTAATTTTTGCTTACACAAGTGTTTATTAACGGTACTCGCATAATTATTTATCGACGAAGATAAGATAGATAAGGACTAATTACAAACGTATACTACCTCGTATTTGATTGATATCTACAGCGGAAGTATCAATTAATGCCGCAAACGCGCGCGGAGTCGGTTTAAATTAGCAATGCGATTCCTCAAATGCTATATAGTAACAATAAACAAGAATTAGATCAGAAGGTTATCGCATCATCGTAATTCGCAACGTGAATTACGAACAAGAATGAGATTCAATCTGTACGATTGTCTGACTATTATCGACCATATACCCACTTTCTTCCATCGCCGCGTATAAAAATAAGTAGAGACAAGTAGAAATACGCAGAGATCTCGAATGAATTTCGCGTTTGTCGAACAACGTTTCGTGATGCGATCATTATTTTTCCACGAAGATAATTGTTAGTAAAAATTGTTGACAAAACCGTGCGCTTCCAAACGACAAATGCGAAAACACGTCGCGTGAATAACGGCGTGTCGAGCAGCAACTGGTAATTCGACTTCGCACAATTACGACACCCATCGCTCAAAGTATTCCTGGAACTTCGCGACTACCTCGATGAAGCAATCAGAATCGCATAGCGGCGAATTTACCGCGCGCGCTGATGTGCAAAAGTTGACGCGCGCGCGCGCGCGCGCGCCATCAATTACGTTGTTACTCATTCCGCTCTGACGCGGAACAGGCGTAAAAGACAGAAACGCTAACGTTACACCGCGGGACACGATCGCTTCCACCGTGCGATCGTACTGAACCTCGTTAACCTTGACATTTTGAACGACTCTCTTGCGCCGCGCGTTTATTTTAGAAAGGCAGAACGACACGTACCATGACGAATTCCTACCCCGCGGGTCGATAAGCGATACTATTGAGTACGATGCGATTACTTCTATCATCATCTATTTATGTGCAGACACTCCTAGAAGCGTCGCGTCGCCGCGCTTTTCAACTACATGTCCTTAGGCTGACGTGAGTGTACGTTTTTCTATCGATGATTAAAATTTTATTCATTCTTCCTCACAACTTCTTCATTTTTCGCGTTAAATTTTCCAATACTTATATTAAAGTAAAATTAGCTCAAGAGAATAAGACTTATCATTTTTTTAATTTAGTTTCTATAAAGCTTAATTAACTAAAATCTCTTTATGTTTAATAACTTGAAAATTATTCAGACCTCCACAACTATATCATGGAAAAACATCTCGTAAACATTTTTTTCTTTCTTTTAGACTTCTGATGTGATTTTTAATTGTTGTCACAGTCCTCGTATGTCAATGTTTTTGGCGAAAATATATTACCGAATTTTTCCCTACGACATCAATTATTTTCAAAAGAAGGGAGGGTATTACATGTGATGACCAAACGTCTTATACCAAGTCCCGCAATTACACTTGATTTAAATATATGCTTCCGTATTAATCCGCTTTACTTTTATCTTTTTGCAATCTTAAATTAAAAACAATAATCGCCTTAATGAAGTTAATAAAAATAAATATTTAAACAATAATAATAAGTAAAACAGGACCGTTATAATAAGGTCGAACCTTAGTTGGGATATTTTTCGCAATAAATTCTTTATGGTGATTTAATAAGGATGCTTAATATCATCAAAATGTAAATCGACTATCGATTTAAATATGTAAATTTACTGTTTAAAGACTGATAAAAAATCGGCGCGCAGTTTACCGAGTTTGGGAAAAACATACAAAATTCATACAATATTATTGTTAGACTACCAAAAAGATCCAGTCCCCGGTCCGTAAATGGTGTTTTCTTTCCTAATTGATTGTAAATATTTGTTTATAAAATTTAAGCTCAACGGAAATCGCGCAGATGTGATCACGGAATTGATCAGTGAAATGCAATCACGGATCATCGTCAACCTGCGCATCGAACGGAGGAAACCGTTCACCACGAGATGTGCTTATCTCTGGACGAAGATATTCCAGCAGAAGAAGAAGCCATCGGCATCGGAGGTTAGTGTGCCTCTCGGTTTCTCACGAATTAATCCGACCGCTCCCCTAATTATCTCTCACGCGTTGTTTTTTTATCGGTTCGAAAGAGATCTTTTTCTCAGAGGACCGTGCACACTTTCCCCGGACACTTTCTTACGTAACAATGCACGCTCGTGTTACACTTCGCGTGTTTCCATTCCCGCGGCACCACGCGATTGTACGACCGCGATAAACCCGCGAATCTTCCCAGTCGAACAAATCCCAGAAATCCATCGTTTCGAACATATTGTATACATATTCAGTATTCACCGAGTGATTGCCTTAATTGCGAATTACTCGCCGAGTATTCTTACCGTCTTGGATTAGACTTGCGATGTAAGATCGATGATTCCGGAGAAGCAATTCAACAATTATATTTCTATTTTTGTTTCTCTAAATGTAGAAAATTTGTTAATTCTCGCGACTTCGAGTCAGTATTCTCCCGTCGTCGGTAAACGTGCAATTCATTTAGACAAATATTTGGCAGATACAAACTTTTTGTTCGTTGTTATTATATTTACTATACTTAAAAATTGTCTTAATCTGCGCCATAATAAAAATTTTTATTTAAAAAAGTCATTTACGGTCCGGGCTAGATGTAGGTAGCCTAATGATTATATTTCTGTGTGAATTTTGTATTGACTTTTTTCCAAATTCAGTAAATTGTGCGCCAATTTATCGCTATTCTTTAAAACACAACTCTTTGTTGGAATATTTTTATATATAATTATTATGGATTTCGTGAACTCCAAATCTTCACAGAGTATCGGTTGCAATTCTTTCTTTCTTTTCTGAAACATCGGACAATTTTAAAATCTTATACTTTACTACGGTGCAAAGTTCTCCTGCTGGTGCAATTTAATCCCGTCCTGCGGTAACGTGAAACGGCACATATACAAGTAATATGATCGTGTTGAGAAACGACATTATAGCGACTGGCTGGCCGTTTCCGAGTGGCAGGCTTAACTTTTTAAAATCCTCCCCGCTTGATACTTTCATTGCGACGGGTTAATTTCTTCTATACACACGGAAAGCCGGAAGAGCCAGCCGCTTGACGGCGGTGTTAACGAGTCGACGCGTCGAGGAAAAGACGTCGTAACGGGATGGTAACGGTCGCGACTTTGTCCTGCGTGCTCGCGATGATCCCCGGGGATATTTCCTCGATCAGTCAGCGTGTACAAAGTGGCCCGACATGATTGCGGCACCTCTGCAACGCAGGTCCTAACGAGCTACCTATTGCAAACCGGCGAGCCCCCCTGGACCTCGTACTTCGTCCGATATGCCGACGTGGTGAACGATCAGCGGGGAATGTCACACTTCAATTGGCCGGCAGGCAACAGCAATTACCACGTACTTAGGACCGGCTGCTTCCCGTACATCAAGTATCACTGCAGCAAACGGCCGGCGCAGGATCTCAGCGGCGAGGACAGATTCTTCAAGGCGATCAAGATATTGAACCTTGGTAGGTTACGGCGAATAGCCGGACGCTCGTGAAGAAAGGGAGCCTGCACGTTCGGCAAGGCGGCCTTGTTTACGCGCCGGTCGGATGCGATAAACCGGCGAGCTCGTAAATCCTATAATTACCGCGAACGCGAGATGTCACGGGATTCTCGATATTAATTTTAATGAGATTCCTCGAGCGCTTTAGAATCTCTAAAGGCTATTACTTTAACTGATATGTAGAGGCGTATCGATATTTTTGTATTTGTTGCGTGGCGATTAAAAATGAAAGAAACAAAGAAGTTTCGGAAAATTTAGTTTAATTAAACTCTACAGGAATAAATTTTTATTTTCCCAGAGTTCTCAATTCAAGGAGAAATCAATATCAGTTTTTTAAATCACAAATTACGATAGCATTCAAATGTCCTTAAAAAAATTCGCCAAGGAATTCTTTCGTCGTCAAGACTAATTGTGTAAGATCGAGAGTTCTGAGACACCCTGTAAATTCACAACCACCGCCGCCTGATTAATTGAATTCAGTCCGTATCTAAAGCGAGGATCGAAACAAGGCGTCGCGACAGAAACCGCGCGTGTATCTGCAGGCGGTCTTATTTGGCTTAATTTTCAACGTCCGAGAAGGAACGTGGGACAACGATCACGACGATGTTCGTCCTTCCACGGCCAATGTCTCTCGTCTCATTGAGTGCTCTACCGATCTGGAATTAACCACGGCGAACGGGTTCAGCGACGACTCGATAATCCCCCTTTCTAACTTCTTGCCTCCTTACGTTTGTACGATGCACCCAGGTATCCCCACCCTGATGTACGGACTGGCCGCGACGCAGCTTATCCGACACCGCGAGATCGTGAAGACGCCTCAGGGTGACGTAACAATCTACTTCTTGCTACCGGAGGACAAAGGCTCGCCACACTGAGGCCTGCACCCTACAACGCTAATCTGTGTCGAGTCTCGCGTCTGACCTTCCTCGGAGATGACGTTAACGGCAACGAAATACAGAACCATACCGGATAATCGTTGTTCTTTTTCTCAACGCCCCCCTCCTCGTTACTCGTTATTCCAGCAAGTTCTCAAGTGCAAAGCTAAAAGGGAAACGAGCGGCGCAAGAATCTCCGCAGCTGTGAACATTCTGTTTATGCACGACAGATCCGCGACCATTAATTTTGTTAATTGAGAAAATGAAGAAATTGGAAATGGCGATTCGGAATAGTATCGCCTTTCCGTGCGAAAGGATATAGCAGAGATTTATCTAATAGTCCAATACGACACAAAAAGTTAGGGAGTAAGATGTTAATTACTAAACCTTGAAACAGCTAAACCTTGACATTTCCTTCTCTTTGCTTTCATGGCAGTCGCTTTATGGACAACGGAATGTGGAAGATTTTAAAACGCTATATCGCGAACCTCGGCTAAATGCAATCTTAATTAGAAGTTTAGTTATCTTCGACTCTATAGATATTGCATGCTAGTCCTCAGTCCATCAGTCAATTAAAAAAAAAAATCGCGAAGGCTTTCATCAGTGATGATCACGCGTATACGTCGTATATATGAATCCGCAGGCAATCGCGATAGTCTCGTGTCAGGCTTTGGGGGATCTAAACGCAAGAAGCTCTTTAAGAAAGTTCGACGACGCGCCGATAACGCGAGGCCTCGTTAATGAGGACGGCCGCCGGCGATCCGCGCGCGCGGAACAAGGTGCGAACACGCATAATTAAAGCGGTTTTCTAATCAACTACTACCCGTGTTTCCTCCGCGGTCCGATGATGCATTAACGTCGACTCGGCCAAGCAGTTCTCCGCCCTGAACTGCTACCGCGGAAAACGCGTACGTAACGTCGCCGACGATAGCTCTCTCTCGTTGCCGACCATTGGCGTTTAAACTCAGGGTTTACGAGCGCACGTGCCTAACGCGCATACATGATAATTCGTATTTGTTACGATCGATGCGATGCATTACGATGCGCAGGTACGAATCCTAACTCGAATTGATAGATACCAAAGAGCACATCGCTTTAACATAGATCACTTCCGATGATGCACTCTGACATACAGATGCGATAAGTCGCAGACTGTCCACAAGCTTTGGCAACGTGCGACAATGTTCAAAATTGGTAAAATATCCTATAAGGTACATTCATAATTTCATGATTTGCATTTTTCTTAGACTTACAATTATTTCTTTATAAATATAAAATATATTTCTAAAATTTCTACATTCTAAATTTCTTAATTATACATTACTTTATTACATCTATACATTTCTTATTATTATTTATATTACATCTATGTTTCTCTCTTTTCTAATCTAACGTCATGCAAATGTTTTCTATTTTATAAATATTATAAAGAGAAAGAGAAAGGAGATTTTAAAAAAATCCGTAAATTTGATCAGACTTCTTTTATATCTATCGTTATACAATTTTACGTTTAATCAATTTTATCTTAATTTTTTCAAGCATGAGATTAAAATACTTTTAAACTGCAAAAACAGGAAATTATGCACAATAGCTGCAACTATATGTAACGATTTGCCAGCTATTAATACTTGACTATCGTTCGAATATTAATAATAAGTTATCGGCGTTATCGCGGCAGTTTCTGCAACCGTATCGAATCTGGAAACGACCGAACGAACGGTGAAAGTAAATGCAGAAAACCAGCAATGACCTGCGATTTTTTCAGAGCAGATCAGGTTAAAAGCGTTATCAGCAGGTGCAGTGATATTTGAATTTCAGGAACCTGGCGACAAGTAAAATTTCATTAGCGAACCGTGAAGTTACGCAATGACATTTCGAATCTTTTCCGCGACATTTGTAATTACGCTCGAAAGTTTCCGCCGTTTCGAATGCAAATGACGCTACCGTCGGTGACACAACGCACGCACTTCCTCAAGTGGTCATTTATCACTCGATGATTACGTCGATGAACATATGAAATAAATAAAAGCCGGATTAAATGAGTATTAATTAGCTGTTGGCTTTCACATTGACATTTTAACGGACTTTCACCGATCCGTACTCTTGGCGTTTCGTCATGAACGCCTTCGATCTTCCTCTGTTGCCTCTTTAAGACACGCACAATAATCCTCGTCTTCCATTAACGAGGCGTAATCCGAGCGGTATCGCGAAAGGACAAAAAAACGTAGCGATCGAGTACCGTATTATTTTTCTTCCAAGTATAAAAATGGCTTTATCGTAAAACCAATTAAGAAACGTGAAATGTGTTTCGAGATGTGAAGTATCTAGATGCACGCACGTGCAAGATTCTTATTTGTAACGATATTTTCAAGTATCTAGTAAACTACCTAAGATCCTGCCAGGATTAACAAAGCCTCACAGGATCGGTTGGATTACCTGGATTCCATCGATAACGACAAAAGTTCTGTATTTTGCGGCACGCATATTCGCAATCTTTACGATAGCGCCTGTTCGAAAAATGATAAAAAAAAATATTGAACGGCACAATTTTAATTCGCACTTTCCTGCGATAAATCAGTTCTAAAAGTCTCTTGTACCTGATTAACCTTTATCTCGCCGATCGAATCCCACGAACCAATGCATTCGGGCATAACGATTATCAGTCGATTCAATACGCGGAATTACTCGAATGTCCAGCGCGCAATTAAGCGTAAGAGTTCTAGGTATCTAATAGATAACAAAATTTTCCAGGACAGTTTAAAGTTTTATAGTGCCAGATTGGTTGGGCGCATTCTCAAGTTCCTCGCTCCGGGTGATCTTCTCGTGTAGGAGGATAACTGAGAAGGAATGGAAGACGAAGGGGAGAGAGCGAGAAAGAGAGAGAGAGAGAGAGAGAGAGAGAGAGAGAAAGGAGGGAGGTGGGAATTTTACGAAACTCGTTAGGAACGTTGGAAGGCTAGTTATGCTGATTAGATCGAGTTTACATATTGAGAATGTGCAACTGCACATATTAATAGTATCATCTCGGCGCGTGTAAGGAGCGCGCGTTTCTGTCAGGACGGTAAGCCGAACCGGCGTCGTAAGAGTCGCACGAAAAGAACGAACGGTTTCTCGTTTTCGCGGAATAGGATGATGGCGATAACGATAAGCTTAGCCAAACGCCTCGCCACGCCGATGCAGTCGCGCTAAATAACGTCGCATAACGATAAAAGGCAGGATAATTGACAGGAACGAAGGGGCCCTGATTGCAATGTATTATTTCCCGCGGACTCGTTTCCTGCTGCACACCCGAAGTGCGTTGTCCTTTCTGATCTGGAGCAGCATCGCAAATATTAGAATTTTACATAATTATGTATAATATTATAATATTAAAAATGCTTATAATATGTGCCTTGAATTTTAACTGTTAGATGTCTGTATATTATTTAATTTAATTTAATATCTATTCTATATAGAAAACGCCCGTTAAAAAATCTTGATTTTTTTTATTTTTCTCGTTAAAAAAATAATTGGATTTTTAACATATTTTTATAACATATGCGCGCATATATTACAACACGCGCGGTAATTTAAATTGTTTACATCCAGAAAAAAGAATAATGCAGGTCATGTAACAAAATAATTTAAAATATTCTTGTGCAAAAATTATTTACAACCAGTTTTTTCGCTGTCAACTCTTTTGCAAATTCATGCTTTTCATGCAGCTAGGTTTAATATCAAAGCACACAAAGCAAGTGTTATACAATTCCACCGTCCAAAGCCATCACGAGATGAGCTCTCAAAGCTCTCGGCATATCTGTAATCACGCGTAATTAATTTCGCACGAGATTCACGAGCGCGCTATATTTGTATGCCCCGATGACCGTGGCGCTATTCTAAAGATAGGTACCTGCTCGTAACCAAAAACCCACAGTGATATTAAACGCTTCAATAGGTTTCAATCGCCGACGCATAAAATTCGCGAGATAAAAATTCGCGGAAGCCGTCACGTGTATTATATCATGAATAGAAAACAGTTCAACATTTTAAAACCGCTCAAATTAGTGCCTGATTTTAGGTAGCTTAGGTTTTTGACGAGTAATAACAGTAAATGAGTAGCAAGTCAAATTTTTATGACATTATACGAATTGAGTGCAGTCTCTCTGTCGCTTGTTAGAAAAATCCCTTGCAAAGCAATTTTTATACATACTTATTCGACTTTCTTGGATTGCGAAAATCCGAGTCATTTAAGTTTCGCAAAAGCAAATTAGTATCAAAACCGTGTAGAAATATTACTTCTGTATATTAAACAGGTTTAATGTTATGCTTGAGTAATCAATATCGAAATGAATTCACCTCGCCGACCATCCTTGCCCCCGTGACCCGAAAGTATACACGGCGTTGCGTATTTGCTCAGCGAATACCTCGCACCGAGATGTGCAATGTGCAATGTCATCGCACTTTTGTTTTCGATTCGAGCAGAGCTACGCCACGCGTGACGTTGCATTTGTCGTGCTCGCATTTTCGCTCGAACCTACTTTCTGATACAGGAAGAAAAGCTAAATGGAGCAACGCGCATCGTGCAAAATAATAACGCTCCGGAGCACAGAAGAGATAACATCAATGCGGTCACATCCATCCGGTGAAGTCCAGATGGAAGCAATAATGATATCCGGGGAAGGCTTTCTGATCGCGCATTTAACATTTAAGGGCATGGCTTTTTTATAAAAAATTTTCGCTCAAACCTACTTTCCAATACAGGAAGAAAAGCCAAATGGAGCAACGCGCATCGTGCAAAATAATAACGCTCCGGAGCAGAAGAGATAACATCAATCCGGTCACATCCATCCGGTGAAGTCCAAATGGAAGCAATAATGGTATCCGGGGAAGGCTCTCTGATCGCGCATTTAACATTTAAGGGCATGGCTTATTTTTATAAAAGAGAACGAGAGCAGCATTGTGCCAAAACTGAGAGAAATAGCCTTTCAACTTTCTCCAAAGGAAAAAATACGACAGATTCTAATGTCACAAAAATGCTTCAGCATTTAGTAATGCATCATAATATGATATTCGCTTAATAACTCAGCCGTGGGACTTAAAAGTAATATTTATTAATAATATCCAATAAATTTAGATTTTTTTGCAATACATTTATTTAAGAGAATTTATTCTTAAATAAAGTAGAACTTTTAATTCCTCCGTAAATGTGCCCAGTGGAAATTCTTTCCAAAGCTTTTTCGTCTCGCTCTCGGAGAACTGATGAAAGGTAAAGATATGCAGAGGAGGAAAAATAAATAAATTCGAAAGCACGTTGAAAGCGTATCTACCGGGTATCATTATCGCACCCCGCTGCACGTCACAACGGTGAATTGAGGATATCGACTGAATCGCGAATACGGCGCTTGTCGATTTATTTATTAGTGCATGTACACGTGCATATATCCGCGCGCGCGTACACGCATACATTCGCGAAAATGCACATTACGAGCGGATACGATCGGCGGTTTGTCGATGAACGGACCGTCCACGGTTTGCCGCCCCTTATCTCGGTCAGATCGAGCCCGAGCATCGAAGGCAAGTTAATTTTACCGTAGAGAGAAAGAGAGAGAGAGAGAGAGAGGATGAAGCCTTCCGGCTCCGGGCACTCGCGAATAATCGCGCATCCTCGAGGAGCTCGTGAGTCACGGCCGGAATTAGGAGCACCGTCGTCCGCCACGTCGGTTCTCTCGATCGCCAGCTTCATTCTGATTCCTGCCGCGATAGTCAACGCCGATATAGAGCCCGGCAGCCGCCCCGTCTGATTCACCGAGCTCGTTACGACCGACTACTGAATTCGCATTAATTTATGCGCGTCTACAAATCAAGCGCGAAATAGAATCGTTCCCGCTTTCGTCCTCCCGCGCCTTTCTATCCTCGTCCCCGCCGCGAGCCGCGATCGTGCGCGCCGATAACGGGTATCGATAAACGATACATTTTGTTCGCTCGATCCGCACAGTTACGCGAACGGTGCAGCGCGAATAGCGTCGCACGCTGATCTATCAGCGTGATTATTAAATGTCGCGTTACGTTGCGCCACATTGATTGCCGGCAAGGTGGTCACTTACGGTCGATGCCGCATAGCCGGGGCGGCGGCATTTTTCACCCGCGTGCTTATCGATCCGAGAAGATAATCGACCATCCAACGCGCGCGTTTAATCCGCGGAACGCTTCGCCCCGA